CGTTTGTGTTACTTCAGATATCTGGACATGGGCGACATTAGCCAGCAGCTGGCCCTCAAAGAGAGGATGCAGTGCAAAAGCTTCCAGTGGTTTGTGGACAACGTCGCATATGATCTGTTAAGGAAATATCCCGAGCTACCACCTAATCTCCACTGGGGCGAGGTGAACAGCATGCTGACTTTGATAAATTGAATGCTAAGATTTCGTATTTATAATGTACAAAAATAGTTTAGAAAAAGAGAATAAAGATCAAACATTTTCAATCGAAAAATTAATCTTGAACTGAGCAAAATACAGTTGACCTTGCTGCAACAATAGCGCTCGACAGTGTCGTACATCGTAGCTATATTCTAGATGACTCAATTGTTTGGCCTCGTCAGTTGTTTCGTGTGCTATGGCCTGTAATTATTTTATATTTTGAAAATTCGATCTATTAAAATTCTACAATCTCGTTTAATTTTTGTGCTGTGAGTTTGGTTGATTTGCTAGGATAAGCCAAAGATTTAATTGATTTCCATTGCAGCTGGCGCTCAGCCGATTCAATTTATTGTAATTCAATTATTATAATTCTTGAGAATCGCGTGTTTTTAGTAGTGCTCGTTTGTTATTCTTCACTATAAGAATTAATTATTCCCTTTTTCCTCATTTCGCCTTCAGTTCTGGAAAATTCTACATTTTAATTGGGAGGCTAAGCTTATTATTAAACATATTATTATTGAGTTAAACTAAAATATGAAGTGAGAAATTTGTGATTGAGGTTCCAGATGAGCTTTTCACTCGAGACTTTCATTGGTTTTTAATCGTGTTCCTTTCGTCTTATCACTTCTACGTAATTCATTTCTATATTTTTATATCTATTTATTTCCTATCCGCCTTCACTTTTCCATTGTGAAACCTTCATTCTCGTCCTCTTTTCTGTCTTTGATTAATTGAAGCAAAGTTATTTGCAGCTTCGGCTATAATTCAATACTATCCATGGAATTCTGTTCTCTCTGTATATTTCTAAAATGCAAAAGTGCAGCTTAATCTTCAAACCAAAGTTAAGATTATCACGATGATAACAAATTTTCCATATTAAACGATGACTTCTACAATCGGTGTAAAACATTCCACGTACGATACTTTCTTCGTGTTTACTTATGCACAAGAAACTGACATCTGAAAGACAAATTAAATGACGATCGTGACTGCAGTTGACGAGCTCTGTTGGAGACTTCTGCTGGGACAGCAGCGGCAATGACGCGCCTGCTGTTATGGAGACTTACCCATGTGCCTCAAGTATCGAGACTGTAAGCCTACAGTTGTTAATGATTTACGTGACTTTTCTTGCTTCAACGAAATGCTCACTTTTCACTTAAAATAATACGGACACGAACTGCCGGTTACTGACGAACGAACTGCCGTTAAAGGTGACGTCTTCTATCACTTTTTTTTTTCAAAGCATGATTTAACCAATACACAAATAGCCAAGTCTGCAGGTAATTTATTCATTGCACTCCTCTCCTATTTTCAATCGATACCTTGAAATTGTAAAACTATTGTTTTACTGAAGAATTCTATCTGCAGATGGCTACGGCAATCAATTTCATTTTCTGACTCTTTACGGGTTTTCTACATCCTCTTGTGTCTTTAGGATTTTCAGTTTGTGGCATTGTTACTCACACATTGCCTCTAGAATTTATATCGTAAAATGTAGATTTTCATCTACATTTTACAACCAAAAATATTCTTCCTGCCTTCTTAATTAACTTATTTGGCGTTGAATAGAAGTTTGCATGTTGAAAGTTTTTGTAGATTAGCATTCTGCTTTAGGTTATATGCACGAGTTTCAGAACCGGTGTTATTCTTTGGGTTTCCATTCGTTGTACGATCCTTGCGCTCCGAGCTGGGCATGTTTTCGTCTTTAACAACTGACTGGTCCTCATCACTCAATATTTTCTCAAACACTTCCATTATCTTGGCGTTTCAAAGGAACATTGTAGCATCAATCAAAATAATCCTATTCTCATTCGATGCTCATATCACTACTAACTTCTTTCTAACTTTTTCACTGTCTTGCTTGGTGCTGTCAGTTCCGAAACGCTGCAACGTCGCTGTGTCTGGACACTATGGGTCACCCCGCCCCCAACCTGATGGGGGTGTCGCAGTGTCATGGCTTCGGCAACAATCAGGTCAGTGCGTTACTATCAACTGTCAAGACGCCAGTCATGCTCCTCAGTTGGCTGTGGACTGGTCAAAGAAGTAGCACGTCAGCTGGAAAGCAGACAAGTGAGTAGCCTTTCAGCATTACTTGTCGAGCAAGGAAACTCAATGTGCAGCATCACGAGGAGGTTAAAGTTTTAGTTTGGCGTTAACTTTAAGAATTGAACTCTTGTGATTTATTATTTGAACCAAATTATTTAACCGAAAACATTTACAAGCAAAGAATATCATTTTAATTTATAAAGGAAAGCTTTTATTTTATATGAATAAAGTTTATTGCCAATTTTTGGTATTGAAATTTCAGAGTAATTAATCTTTAATTCTTACCAGCACGTGATAATTGCATTGCATGTGCAGCTGGTACGACTGAACAGCGCGGGCCAGCTGGGCGTCGGTGAGCGTTGCGTCGACGCGGATGCTCAGGGCATCAAGCTCATCTTCTGCAGACTAGGCACGGTCGATGGCCCCTGGATTTACGATGAGGTATGCATCCATAACGCTCCGTTATAGGTACCAGGACGTTTCGTACTAAACTAACTCTTCACGCTCCGTTATAGTTAACATGAGGTGTCGTATTTACGATGAGTCCATGAACCATGACTATATTAAGCCCACGCTTAAAGCTCCGTTGATCCAGCTTATTAACTGTACTGAGGACTGTTGAAATAATTCGTCAATGAATCTATTGACTTATCGTGATAGAAGTGATAGCCTAAATTTCTAATTGCTCCTGTGGTCGCCAGGACACACACGTTCTCAAGCACAAACGCTTCAACAAGTGCGTGTCGCTGCATCCGTCCAGCAACCAGCTACAACTGCTGCCATGCGACCCCATCAACAACTACCAGAAGTGGACCTTCAAACAAATTACCCCTAACTGGTGAACTAAAGCAGCCAGTTACTGGTGAACTAATTGCAGCCAGTTACTGGTGAACTAATTGCAGCCAGTTACTGGTGAACTAATTGCAGCCAGTTACTGGTGAACTAATTGCAACCAGTTACTGGTGAACTAATAGCAGCCAGTTACTGGTGAACTAATTGCAGCCAGTTACTGGTGAACTAATTGCAGCCTCCAGTTACTGGTGAACTAAAGCAGCCAGTTACTGGTGAACTAATTGCAGCCAGTTACTGGTGAACTAATAGCCACCAGGTACTGGTAAACTAATAGCAACCAGTTACTGGTGAACTAATAGCCACCAGTTACTAGGTAGTGAACTAGTAGCAATTAGTTTTTCTCCTTTAACGCTTGGTGAGCGTTACAATGTCATCAGCCTTGCATGACGTTTGGCTATCAATCTGAATCCTTGTTAGCTTACAATTTCCAATTTGTGATCTTAAATAAAATTTCTCTTTATTTCCTTTAAGTAGAACGTTATTATTAGTTATTACGTACGGTGAATGAAATTTTTTTCATTATTAGAGAAGTCTGATTTTTAAAACTTGTTGAAATTCTACCTAATGCAGCACTAATATGTGAACATTTTAGTTCTAGTTCTGTCACCATTCCAAGTAAAAAGTTGGATAGCTTCTTTTAAGTATAAGCATGCAGTAGCTTCGTTCTGTCGGCGTATTCTAATATAAATGTAAGATTTTAACTCATTCTTCGCTTTTCAGACTCCTGGGAAATTCCAACAATTATTCCTGTGAAGTGATATGCGCCAATAAATGTAGGTTTCAAACGCAAACTTTTGCTGTTACAGTATTCTCCTACGTTGATCCTTCCAAATGGTTTTTATCGTATCGTAATGAAAGCAAGCAGGCATTCGGGATTCAACTTTGTTTCCCTTAGAAATTAGTCACTGTTGTGCGCCGGCATAAGGGTATTCTATGTAGCCTTCTGCCTAAAGCCGACTAACCGCTTATTAATTTTTGGTGCGGTGATGTAGCGTGTTATCATAATCCAGTTTTAAAAGTTTTCTGGAAATGAAGTTTTGCACTCTTTAATGTTTTTTTATGCATGGTTAACGCGTATTTTCCGAGCCGCCTACAGTTTATTGCAACATTCCTCTGTCCTGTCCTTATTAGATATGAATGTATGAACAATTACTCTGTGCTTCAGAAGCTATTTTTATTCGTCGAATTACGATGCGGCATTGCAAATTTGTTCTCTTCCTAAGTGCATTTTGTTGTTACTCGTTAGTACGCGTACAAGAAATAAAGCAATTGTATAATTCTATCTCATTTTTGGGAATTGAATTTCCCAAGAAAGTACGAATCTTGCAATGATGTTAAATCTCCGTGTTACGTACAGTATTGGTTTGCGAAAATATTCATCCAGAAACCGAAACTTAAATTTATACATCTGCATTTTGCCTCAATTCGTTTCCGTGACGTAATCCTCGACTTTAACTTACAACCGCTGTTAGCTGTTGCGTATAGAATTAATTTATAACGCTATTATACAGTTAGCGTTTGTTTACTTATTTGGCACGATTATGGAACTTGGAGCGTTGTCATGTTCATCTGAGTCGAGATTATTTTGTAATATGGGCTTTAACTACAGATAGTCTCATGAATATTAAATTCTTTGTTATTTCATGATAAATAATAATAAATTCCACGTCTTATACCTCGTATTTTTTAGCGTGATGTAACTATGCCTTTCTAAAATTTTGAAGTTGGATTCTTGAAAAAATGGCGTCATTGAGAGCAATTTATGCTCCCTGTAAATTGAGTGCTTGGGTTAAGGTTGTACTATATTATTTTGCGCTTGGGACGTGGGTTTGTTTCGCACTTAATGAGTGGTCTTTTATTGCTATGCTTCATGTTATGAACTGTTTGATGAGTCCATCATTCGGTGCAAAGGTTGGATTGTGGTTGTATCTGCTTGTGTTTTGTAATAAACTGGGAGTCTAATGCACAAATTTGGTTATCGAATTGACGAGAATGATGCGGTTATTTTTTATTGTAAGTATTCTTTGTGCACTCGTAGGGTACGCACACAGTGGAAGCAGGTTTGCCCTCGCGGGCAACCTGCTCTAACCTGCCACAAGAATGAACATAGGATAATAATGTAAGTGTTCACAGTGAAAACCTGTACGAATAGGCTTCTGTATTCTATGGTTACAGGCGCCAGCCTGAGCAGGTAACCAGCACGCTGGCAACCTGCTTTCACTGTGTGCGTACCCTTATGTTTGATGTTTATGAGTGATGGTTTTGCGGAAGTATTGGGATGATTATTTATTGATGTGCAATATTGAATGTTTTTTGTATCTGGCGTGTAAGAAAATCTTAGGAAATGATGTTTATTTGTCATTGGTTATCTAAAAAGTGTCAGCTTGTTTTTTCATGTACTTTCCGTTTGAATTTGTTTTAAAATACGAATAGGACTTGAATTGAAAATTTATTTATTTTAGCTATGTATCTCATTATTTAGTAATTTGTAACAATCAGATTCCGGATACATAAAAATTCCTATTTTTAGTTGAAACAATTCCCGAGTAATTTTAAGATCACAATTGAAATCCAAATGTTGAATTTTAATAAACTGCTCTTTAACTCATTGCTTACAACTAGGCAGGTATAAAAAAATCGAACGCTATTTATCTCATTTACTTGAACTGAATGTCAGCTCATTTGCCGTAAGTCGTCTTCAAGCACATTTGAAACTGGAATTCGCATGGCACTCATTTGTAGACAAAATGAGATGCTTGAGTTAACTGTTGCTATGTTAACAGTTATGAACCCACTGGCAGCCAAATGAGCTGTGATATTCCCATGATAAGAGCAAGCCGGTACGCTCCGAGTCTGCCATTACCGACCGATTCAAGTGTGCTTCACTGTACAAGGTAATAATTCTGAAAAATAAGGCGCAATGCAAGGAAACCTATTCGAACGAAAGAAAAGAGCGTAAGTAATTGCCATGATAAGATTCCATACAAAAACCGTTATGTCTGTGACGTCTGAACTCTACCACAAGTGGGGCTGCCGCTGGAAGATAGCATTGCCCGGGATTATTAACAAGATCACATTTTACCACCTTTCTGGTCTTTCACGTTAGCAACCGTAATCCTCATGAAATAGCGTGCATTAAAGAGGACCAACCAGTCTTCAGGAAAGGAGCCGAGAAAGTATGCCCCCAGTTCCACCCGCCGGCTTTCTTCTTGGTAATGCGTTCACCCGATGGCCCAACACATGAAATACTATCTCATCAGTCATACAATACAAAGCGCGTGTGAACGTAACTGTATTTATTGCATACACCACAAAGCCGCAAGTTTTCATCAACTGCCTCGAATCAGCCCCGGATTGAACGGCCAATTGTCGGAACGAACTATGGGTCCTCGGAGAAAATTTTACGAGCTCGCAAACCGGGTGGTACAAAAAGGTACATTTGCTAAGCAGCTTAGTGGTGCCTGGCTGGTTTCGTGTAACTCTTCGTCGTCAGAAAGATTGGTCGCAGTAAGCGGTAGGCTAGTTACAATTCGGGCGCTGGTGAGAGTATGAAATGTTGCATCTCTTGTTTCAAATGTTCATCAAACCATAGACTATACTCTTCAGTTCAGTCTTGATGGAATATCTCTATATATAAATATTTGAAATATAAGCGTGTCGTGAGCCATTACTTTAGACATGTGTAGACTCAAAAAAGCATCTTTTCATAGTTTAAAATATTAAACACCTATCGGAATAGTCGAAAGTGTGAAAGGAGGTAAAGATGAAAATATTCACTTATTAGGCAATTATGCTTCCAGTTGAAGAATTGTTTACCCGCCGCCTCAAGCTTAGGGAATTGATAATGAGCACATATTTCGATGAGTGAACAAGAGAGATAACAGTAAGAAGAGTAAAGTAACGCCAATATTCAAGAGACTAACGAGTAGAAGAGAACCAAATCTCGGACGTTATCACAGATGGTCATTATCAACTGACCAAACCTCATGGTACTCGTGGCACGCAAAATCTCTCCCACCTGCTAGCTCAACTGATTGTTCATCATACATTAATCATTAACTGACCACAGCTTAGAGATTACAAAATAAAAGCAAAAATATTCGAATAAAACCCATAACTGTAAATAATAAACTATTAGTATCGACAGAACGTGTTTTTTCTCGTTATTCCCGCGAATCTCCACCGTTGAGAACCGTTACAGGCAACAAAATGCGCATGACTAGGCGTGTCTAGGTTATTATCGGAGCGTGTTATACTTGCAAGGAGCTCCTTATATGCTTGCCTGCTCAGAGGTTACCAATAATTATCTGGACTAGAACATAAAATCTAACCACTTCGTAACTAACAAATAAAATGAGAATAAACATCCTTGCCACTAATAAATAATCTCCTACGAATGTCTGCTGTCGAGACACGCAAAGCAACGAAATTACACGCCTGCAGAAAATGAAAGCCACAGTGTTCTAAGTAAATCCAAACTATACGTTTCTCTACATAAATTGAACTGGACGAATGATCCTAGTTAAGATAAGGCGTTTTGCGCATTTAAGCGCTACTTATTGTTACTTGGCGTAATTATTAATCTACCTAGTCTATATTTACACTATTATTACAAAACCAACTTTAGTAACTTCCAATTCCACTACATTTGACGCACGTACCAAAAGTGGGCAACAGTTTGCGATACATAAGGTAATACATGCCTATAAAGGACGTACTAAGCTCATAATTGTTACAGCTCAATCAGGTGCAAAGCCTAATTTATTGGTGTTAGAAGCATCTTTGATTGATCATTGGTTGGATTGGTATGATAACCAGTAAGAGAAGTTCGATCGCTTCACACACCTCATTTTACGAAGGAGCGAGAGGCACTCCCACCTTTAATCTTGACAGATCAAAGCATCGTAAGAAAGGTACAATTATAAAATAGTTCTATAGTATTCATCAGAGATTTTCACTAATTCAGAAGCAACAATACGATTTCGTCAGTCACATTTCACAGTGATTACTCATGACCCATCCAGCACCTCTAAAGATCGATGCGAAGTATTTTCTTCATACATGCGCATTTTTTACAAGCATCTTAAAGAATAGGCTAGTGCGATCAATAGCTGAGGCCTCGCATCTGGTCAAACTATCCTCTCATAGAAAAGAAGATATGCTTGAGCTTTCAAGACACGATCTATATTTACATGAGCCACGTGAGTGTCCGACACATGATACCATTGGTCTTTCCGCACCTCGGCTTCCAACTCCTGCAATAAAAGTAAATAAATTCTTCAAATGATATATTTTTCATAAAATATGACGCAATCAAATATCAAAACAAGGCTGAACGTGCATCTAATTATCACAGAATCTCATTACAAATGTTTTCTGACAAAAAAGTACCAATTTTTATTTGAGAAACTAAAAACATGAAAAACTATTACCATGATGGCGAACTGTCATAACAAAAATAAAACCAGGAAAATCGATCAGACAAATGTAAGCTAGATAACTTGAATATCGTGAGTATAAAAGCAACGGAAACAAAACAGCAACTCGCCTCAATAGAAATGGTGGCGGCGTCGGTGTTTCTTGGTGGCGGGAGCTTGGGCGGCGCGTCGCACTCGAGGCGTGAGGAGTCCAGAGGAGGCTGGGCGAGGTAGGCGGACGGCGGACGAGTGGGCACGACGGGACGTGATCGCACGTACGCTGTGTAGTGCCCGTTATGGAGGCGGCCTGTATGCTGGACTATACCGTACAGTCCATACAAAATACGGGTACCCGGATTCTGAAAAAAATGTCATCTGAATTTAAAAAGTTTTTTCTTATCCATTAAAAATACATAATAATATACAATTACTAATCCTCATCATTATAAAAATTTACTTGCATTCGTCCAGGCTAATGCGTATAAAAGGCTGAGATCAAAGGCTAAATGTGTGGGATATAAGAATACTGTTTGTCAAAAAAAATTATAGAAATTGAAAATTTGTACTAAACAGTCTTGTACGTCACACTGCGTAACAAACAAAATAACGCTTTCATCTAGCGCAGTGCAACACGTTCCTTTCATATAAGTTTTTATGCATCTATACATTGAGTATCCCAAAAACTATTACCAATGGACTAGCGAGGGCGATCACATTTTTTCTACAAATGCAAGTTCAGAAAATGAACAATTGTTGGGTCAACAAGCAACATGGCATTCTGGGATTACCTTATCAATGATGTTCTCAATTGTTGTGAATCATACAGACGTACCAATGCGATAGTGGATGTGAAGGGCGCCAAGTCGAGCACCAATGGGAAGTGCACGAATCTGTTCGCCTTGGCGAGGTGAACGCCGTCGTGGTGGAAGCGCTTGAGCTGCAGCGTCAGCACAGCGGGAGGACAGACGATCATCATTTGCTTTCTAGCGGCGCTTCTCACTGGGCCATCAACATCTGGATTGTTGCCACCTGCAAGAAATAAATCATATTACAAGACCATTTTTAAAATATATTTTGAATTTTTGTCGACAGTTGCATAGATCATTCACGTGTCCCACATATTTAGTCTTTGAACTCAGCCCATTATACATACGTATTATCAAGTAAGGCCCACCTATTTTAATAAGAATTAAGATAATTAATTTAATAATATTATGCATTTTTGAAGGGAAGAAACATTATAAATTGTTGTCAGGAACTGAGGTTTCGACTTATCGTGATGTAACGCCTTCCTTCAAATAAAACTTACCTACTAGAAAATTAGAAGGATCATTGAAATTGTATTAAAGTCAATGAGTAAATAGAATGATTTCGTGGATAAAAACAACGTGCTAAAACATTCCTCAGGCAGTTTAACGTGCTATCGCGCCTTTTTGAACTTACTTATATTTCTGAGCTTCGTGCAGTTCTGACATATGATTTTATTACTGCTAGCTAGGAGTTCCGGAGCCGTGAATTTCGCTAAGCAAGACATCACCGAACATTCTTGTGCATGCGCCTGGTATCTGAAACAATTGATATTCTATGTAAATCCATCAATATTCTGAGACCCTCTCATATAACAAATTAAGAACTTCATAAAAGGGCAGATTTCATACGCTCAATATGCGATATTAAGTCTTACGTTCAATTAATTGAATTTAATTATGACTGCTGTGAATATTTTTGAAGAAGGGATGTCCTATATAATATGTACAAAAAGAAAATGGCTTTCAAAACAATGTTTGCGGGAAAAAGTAGTTTATAAGTCTAAGAAAGCTCTAGATTAAGATTTAGTGAGATATTACACCACTCAGTTCATCTCATAGAAATCATCGGGTAAAAATTGAACAAACATTCAGATTTCGACATGAAATTGTGGTTTGAGTGAACAATTACTTTGGAGCAACGGTCGTAAGGCTCCTTGTTAACCATTCCTGTTTAAATTTTCTCGGGTTGGGTGTAGCAGAATGCCGCTGGTCATCTTCTTCCGCGAGTCTGTCGCAGCTTCTGAACGCGACTAACGAGTCCCCAGTAGATCGTTTGCTGTAGTTTATGCGATGCAATGATTCTTTACTGCTGCTTTTGCGATGAAGCGTCCTGGCTAATTCTTCGTCAGTTCCCGCCTTCAGGAGCGATTCTTTACTCAGTGACCGCCGTTTTGGCGTGTCCAAATCGTCTCCAGTATCCACGCCGTTACCGTCAGCGGTGAAATAGCGCTCCGATGTGTCGGACGCTGAGTTGTAGTTCAACTGGTCGCAGGACGCGCTCGTGCTCAAATATCTACGCGGATACGAAAACTGTTAATGATTGACTGACACAATATTTTTGTGATTGGAGAATTTGGAACTAAATATAGATATTAATCAAAGCCGACACTGCTATTAAGTGGGTCCACTGATTTCATTTTACAGCTACCAAAGTTAAAATCTTGCCCTCAAGTGTCAATAATAATTTAGTCATGCATAACTGTGATCACTGACCGTCCATCAGAAGCGTTCGTCGCACCGTATCCGTCGTAAGAACTCGACTGCTCCACGACGATGATGGACGGCTGACGTGTGACCCGCTCCTGGGGGAACTCAGACTCGGCATTGTCTTCCTCGTCGGCGTCGCTGTTCTCTGTTAATAATTAATGCAAGTAAACAAATTAGAAAGACAACTCAGACTCGGCATTATCTTCCTCGTCGGCGTCGCTGTTCTCTGTTAATAATTAAAATAAAAAGTCATAAAGATAACTCAATATAATGTCAAGCTGAAATAATCCAAAAATAAATCTCGAGATAAATATTTATTCTACACCGTGATCTCTGACACACTAGAAGCTAATACTTTCAAGACAGAATTCTAACATGAACATGCTAGGTTTTGGTTAAGCTAAATAATTACCATATCTTCCAGGTTAAATGCCAGAAAGTGAACAAATCCAGTCAAATAAATAATGAAAAAAACGAGGAGACTCGAAAATGTTCAACAAAGAAAAATGAGCATGAATCTAACGTTAGCCAAAAACAACAAATTGATTCAATAGTGCTTGAGCTTATGAGGTAAGCTGATAGAACTTGTACGCCATCGAGTTAGAACTACAAACATTACCAGCCGCATCGCAGTCTCAAGAGGTTTTTGCTGAAAAAAACACGATGACCGTACAACTAAGAATATGAGGCTTAGCAGAGCAAGTGGCTAAGCTGAGCAAGTGACTATGCTGCGCCATAAGCAGACTAGGCACACCCAGCCTCACACAACTCGGCCCACCCTCTCATTACCTCTCCACACACCTTTCTTCTTAGCAGCGGAGTCGCTCTCACCATTCCCCTGCTCGGAATCTGACTCCTCTTCATCCTCCTCATCATCTTCATCTTCCTCTTCATCATCACTGTCATCCGCATCCTCATCTTCATCATCTTCTTCATCCTCATCATCCTCGTCGCTGTCCCGAGTCCCGTTCACCTTCACGGATCCCTTGCCTCCCCCAGACGCAGTGAGATTGTGCAGCCTCTGAAGCAAAATATTCTTGTTGGTGAGCGCTGTGTTCTGCGAGCCCTCGTTGTCAGAGAGCGTTAGACGACTCAGGCTCCTCGTCGAAGCGGACTTCTTCTTGTTAAGTCTGCCATCGTCATCGAGATCGTCGTCGTGGTCATACTCCAGCTCCTCACCCTCTTCCTCCTCTTCCTCTTCACTGCAGTCGTTGTTCTCGAGTTCTTCTCGGCGTCTGGCGTTTCTGGCGTGCATCAAAACTTTGTACTTGGAGCTTTCGTTGCCGCCACCGCCGCTCGTCCATCCCACCACGATGGACGGCACGCCGTTGGTCGGGACACGTTCCCCAGCGGCCTCTCGTGCTCTTCTCGCCTCAGCTTCTTGCTGCTTTTTGAATTCCTTGTCCTCTGGTCTGCTTTTCTCCGTTAACCGCCTTTTGACCTCTTCGCATATACTGTCTTGAGCTCCGCTATCTATACAATTGTTAACATTTGCATCTTTGATTACTTTACCGCTGCCGCTTCCCCCTCCTCTACCTTTACTTGAATTCTTATTGTTTCTATTTCTTTTTGCTTGTTTTTTCTGTTTCTTTAACTGATGCTTGGATAAATGGTTGAGTTTGTTATTATTATTGTTGGCTGATACAGTGCGTCCGAAGCAGTCGAAGACAGACTCATCATGTCCTCCCACGTTCTTCGGCTTCCCCTGCAACAAATTTACGAAACTAGACAAAATTCTTGACTAAGCAGGATAATGTAACCCTCGTGAAACTAGACAAATTAAACTCCAGTAAAAGGGCGAATTGAAATGCAATTATCTTTGAAAGAAAACAACGGATTCTGAAGTTCAAAATATTGTTGAACTTACAACATAAGTAAGAAAAATATTATATAAATATATATAAATATAACAGCAAAATAATCGAAACGAATTTTTTAATGATGCTGCAACATAGAATTCAAACAATGCAAACCTTATCTTCGGTGACAGAGAGCGAGAGGTCCATGAAAGGTTCGAAGACCTGAGATGACCACTGGCATTCCTCACACAAAACTGTAATGTATCAAAAAATTTTGAACTGAAAAACATTAAGAAATGATTTATTACGATCTCATGAAACTAAGTCATGATTAAGAGAAGCAACACAAGTCAATTATAGCGAACAATTTCACGCAGAATGGTTTAAAATCCCAGTGAGCAAGATGCTGTTGAAGCTTTTATTGCATGTACGATGATGGTTAATGAATGAAAGATTATCGAAAACATTTTCCATGGATGAGAACCCCAACTGCACTTGTAATAACACATAAACTAGATTGTTCTTAAGGCTTTTGTACTTCGAGATGATAATAAAAAGAAACTCACTGGTGCTGATGAGCTGCCCACCGAAGATCTGGTCAATGATTGTGTGTGTGGCCTGACGCCCGTACCCTTGGATGATTTTACGCACTCGTGGAGGAACCTGCGTCATCATGACATTATAATTAGTGGCTAATTGATTCAATACTTGAGATGATTCAAATTGATTGAATAATTGATTCAATAATTCAAATTGACTCAATACATCCTCAAATTGATGACGGCTTAAGACAACAGTCATTGCCCAAATGTATTTTAAAAAATGGCACAAAAACTGGAGAAGAATAAGGTCTGAAACCAATAAGATTAAAATATCAAGTCCAAAGCCTTAAAGAACAAAGTTCAAAGCCAAAAATTTAAGTCCAGAAAGCAGGAAAAAGAAAGTTGTGTACGTAGAGCCAGATTATTTGACTTGGTAGTACCGAATTGTTAGAATATTATTTATCATTACTCTCTCTGATCAGAGAAAAATTCATCAAATATCGGATACAACAAAAAAAAATAATAATAAATAAAAATTTGGTTATGATCATCTCAAATATTTCAAAACCAATAAGACTTTCTCATTAAAACTTTTTATTAACCGACGAAATTAATGCAACAAAATTAATGCAATTGAAGCAAAGGTAACTGATGGTTTTTCACAATCTACGAATTATTATTCCCAAAGAAAATTGAACCTGGCAATGATTAACTGATAGATGTTACAAGTCTACGAATTATTTTTCCAAGAGAAAAAGTAAATTAAGCAATAACTAACCGAGTAATTCCATAAATTCACGCATTATTATTCTCAAAGACCCGCGAATGAAGCATTTTATGAATTATTATTCTTAAATAAATGCATATGAAGCAAGGAGTAACTGGTGCGCACCTTGCTAGGGTCAGTTTTCTCGTTGAGCGCGAAGGCCCTGAGTATGGCGCGCTTGGCCCGGTGCAGTTCCTCGCCCCTGATGCTCTCCAGCAAACACCGCAGCAACTCGTGCGCGTCCTGCTGCTCGAACCCTCCGAATTGTGCATTCTTCTTGCAAACCTACGAGACAACGGGAAAAATATTTCATCATTAAATATTATAGAAAATATTATAAATCTCTTCAGTGTAATAAACTAACAAGAAAGATGATATCGATTAGAATAATCAAGCGTATTCGAGGCTTTAGTTTATATAGTATCTTATTTCTAAGTAAAAGGATAATGAAATTTTACGCCTATTGTATGTTCTTTTAAATTGTTGGGTTTTTCACGTTCATTAAGAAGATAGGTTATCGCAACTTGCTTTGCTAACAATAAATAAGGAAAAAAAAACAAATAAATTTAATCATGAAATAGAACCTCACAAAACTCGCAGTACATGTAGGAATAAAGCAGACGCATGAAGCAAATCTCCTGCAAGTTGTAAGAATTAGAAGCGAAATAATAAGCAACAAATATATAAATCGAGTACATTTGAAGCTATTGAATCAAAACAAAAAATAATCACTGCAATATTTTCGCTTAATTTGAAGCGAGTAAACCAATCATAATGCGAGCAGTGTTAAGAAGCTAGGTCTGTACTCGAAAAACTAAAAAATCGAAAAAGTAACTTTTGTATGAATTGAAACTTTTTACGTTCAAGTCCAACCGCTCATAAAAACATAAAACGCATCGAAATACAGCAAATCACAGCAAATCGGTCTTTTGAAGAAATTTCCAAGCTGCAATTTGTTAGATGAATGCCAAGTGAATAGCAAAAGAATTTGCAAGTTACCATCCTGAGTTGAGGATCGTCACTGGCACTGATCTGCACAGCAACGTTAAATATTCAGTATTGATCACACGTAACGACATCAAGCCTATGATAGCTACGCTACTCGGTGCCGCGTCCTTCATGTCTTACAAAAGTTTAATTATTTTGAATCTCGATTCAACATTATTATATCTTCAACAAATGAAAGTGGAATCTTTGACACGGCATACATCAAATTTTTCGGATAGACATGAAGCGTGTTAAGATTTCACTATTTGATAGTGATTGACGATATTTTTTTCGGATACTGCAAGCAATACATGTGAGTGTCTTCATAAAATAAGCTTTGTATACAACAGATATATATACAAAATACACAAGATAAATATAAGGATACTACTCAGATCTATACCTGCTCAATGAGGTCGTATTGAGCAAAGCGATGAAAAATTGTTTGTTTTCAAATTGACCTTTTGCGCTGAATAAAATACATAATTTTAGCTCTGCTAATGAAACAATCTGAATTATATATAGTTTAAAAATCAATTATATTCTTCCGAGTGAAATCGTAACTATGAAACGTTAGGAGTTCGATAATAATGAATGAGTCGTTGCAGGCGCTGCAAGTTCTCGTTAAGAATTGATCACGAATTCACGATATTATACGTGAACGAATTTACTATCAGAACAGATTGACTTCAATTGATTACGACTTTTAACTTTCAAAAACAAGATCAAAATACATGCGATAAACCGGACAATATTGTTCCACTGAACAATCTCCACCAAAACAGAGTTTAATTTTGGCACTTATATAAATAGGAGCTACCACGTACACGCAGCGCTACTCCAGAATATGGACGGATGAGTTCAGAATGAATTAATAGGCTACCTAGCCCTCAGAAGAGTATGAAGGAAACTACGATGATTTTCTCAACGTTAACACGGGAAGCTTTGAATGCACTGTGGTTGAGAACAGGTTTGTCGATATTTTACATTCAAATGCAGGAATGAACTAAGGAACATGGCGCGATTTGTGGGCATATTTTATAGGCTTTTAAACGCAACACACAGCGCCAAACAAAGAACAGTTGATTTCGTTTCAAACTCACGTGCTCCTGAACACCTCGAAGCTTCAGAAAAAAATTACAAATTGTGATTTTACTTTTATTCAAGGATCACAAATATCATGCGTCCAAACATTAAAAAAATATTGTATTATTTTCAGGTAAATAAGAAGTTTACAAAATTTAATCCGAAACATCAAAAATCTGACACGTCAAATCGTGATATTCTAAAAAATAAATTTACGTTGTTTATAAATACAAATATTTATAAATGCTTCTTCCAACTGTTGGCAACGGCTTATGACTAATAGAAGACAACAAGAATGTCGCTCAATTTGTGTGTCACAATATCGGTGCAGCAACAATCTTGATCACCAGGGATTCTGACGTCACACTAGCATGAATAACTAACTCTGCAGGCTTCATGCCAGGGTCTATTGAGAATCACCATCGGATAGAAACAAGTCTGAAAATTTTCAAGCTGTGTCTGTGAAACTTGTTATAAATAAGAGAGGTTGTGGAAGGACCGTTTCAGGACTGACCTGCCCGAAGAGGTGACCCGGACTGAGGATGCTGTTACGACCGACAGCGTGCATCTCCTTCAGGAAATTAGCGAGGGCTAAACTGAGACTCCCTCCTTCAGGCAGCATCAAATCCAGGGGCTTCTGCAACAACAAGAGATATTTCATAAAACTAAGTACAAAGTTGGTAGGTGACAGCTACACACACAAAACATGGGTTCTATGTAAATATTGAATTCAAATGAGTAGAGTTCGATCAAAACACTCTATAACAACAAGGCCTCGCAAATGAACCAGATGTTATCAGCTATGGAATTTGTTCTCACGAGTTCTATGTCTTCATCGCAATCGTCCATTTCGAGATCGAGACTCTTGCCTCGCCGCCTGTCGTGTCGCCTGTCGCAGCTCAGCTCAGGCGGTTTGCCAGGCAGGCTGGCGCGCTGTCCCGTCTGTAGCTGCAGGTCAAACAGCTGCGTCAAAGCGTGTGTCTGTCCGAGCACTTGCATCACGCTGTTGAAGAAACACGTGTTGCCCAAGTTCGTGATGCCCTGAAAATAAGAACAAAATTTCAACTGCCATGACATTATCTTGAATTTACGGAACATTTCTATTGGCATTCCCTCTTTAGCGGGCGAACAGAAACATAGAAATGAGTAAACCGTTTAATTGGGCAATTAGTTCCATGAAAGTGGTTAGCACTGGAAATTGGAAAAATAAGCTAATATTTGGACATTAGCAAGTATTTATATACAATTAGTATATTTATCTAATAGGATCTCCTAGTATCAAACAGAAAACAGGCAGGACACACCTTCACTCTAGGCAGGCACACACCTTCACTCTAGGCAGGCACACACCTTCACTCTAGGCAGGCACACACCTTCACTCTAGGCNCTTTTCGGCGCCGGTTCAATATTCCACGCAATGATGCTCTTCCTCAGGCGAACACCATTCGGTCCTGGGTTAGGCAGTTGGAGGTAACTGGTAGCACACTAAGAAGAGATACACATGGCCGACGCAGGTCCATCGGAACGCCAGAAAATGTCAAGAGGGTGAGAGCAGCAGTCATCCACTCGCCAAGTCGTTCAGCACGAAGGCATGCTGTTGTTTTGGGTATCTCCTCACGCAGTTTGAGGAGGATTTTGCATAGCGATTTGCATTTCCATCCCTACAAAAAAAAGATGGCCCTACAATTGAACGAAGCAGACTTTGCCAGCAGCCGAAATCTGTGTGAGAACCTGCTTGAACAGATTGCTCCCGACGCAGCGTTCTTCAGCAGTTATGAGGCGCATTTTCACCTCTGTGGGATTGTAAATAACCAACATTTTCGCAGCTGGGCTGAAGATAACCCACAAATTATCCATCAAAGACCACTACATTCTCCCAAACTAACGGTCTGGTGTGCCATCTCACAATTTGGTGTGATAGGCCCATACTTCTTTTAGGAGGAGTGAGTAACCGTGACAGTGAATTCCGAACGCTATGCTGCAATGTTGCAAAATTTTTTGCAGCACAGGATGGAAAACATTGTTGAAAATGAAGCATTGGGAGACATGTGGTTCCAGCAGGATGGGGCTACAGCTCACACAGCCCGAATGTCACTCAATGTTTTGAAACGCATGTTCCCAGGCTCTGATCGAGGGGGTGATTTACAGTGGCCTGTGAGGTCACCTGATTTGAGCATTTGCAATTTCTTTCTTAGGGTACGTCTAAATGAAAGGGTGTTCAGAAGTCGTCCTCACACCCTACCACAGCTAAGGGAACGGATTATTGTAGCAGAGGTTATAGCCATATCTTGCCATATGTGTGAATGTGCTGTAGGAAACTCCTGAGAACGACTCAACAGTGTGATGCAGCAAACGGCTACCATCTTCCCGATATTATTTTCAAAACATAAGTATTCTAAATGGTATGTTATACTAACCTCGAGGAAAACTTTCTTCTTTATGTACCTCCATTACTCTTTTATTTCGCCTCAAAACTGCTCAATCGGTTCTGCCCCACCCTGTATAACTCTGAGTGGGTGGGAAATATCAGCCGCACTAAATTATATTTTATACAAATAATTTGAGCCGAAAAACCAATGAACAAAAACATGAAACTCCGTAACCAATGCAGGGTATGCGTAATCTTTTGTCTACTAGTATCATATATGAACAACAAAGACGATGATTCACGTATCGGCAGACAAAGCATTCATAAAAAGTTTGGCTTGGTACTGATGAGATAAATTTAGCGAAAATGAACGCTAAATCCTGATACATCGTCTTTTACGCTGATGAAAACATTCTCATTGCAAAGCAATCACAGTAAAATATTTATAGGAACAGCGCTAAATGCTCATGATAAATGAGCATTTAACGCTGATAAATGATAATATGTTGCACGATGATGAGGAAAGTACGAGAGATGAGAGCGGTGACCCACCAGACAGTCCAGTGTCGTGTGGACAGCACCAAGCAGTGCTTGTCAGAGCGCGGGGTGCGGTAGTGCTGCAGTGCGTGCCCCTCAGTGTCGCGGTCACAGCCTTGGTGCGCGCAGAACAGGCACATCCATACCACGCACTCTTTCTTCTCTGTTGTCTATTTGGCAAGAACCAATTAATAGAGAATAATTGTTTGTTATGACTTAAAAAATGAACCGAACGTGAAGTACTGATTATTGCACTGGTATGTCTTGTATTTTCTGAGCCACATTGAGAATAATTATTTGTTATGACGTAAAAAATGAATCGAACGTGAAGTACTGATTATATAATTATTGCAATTATCCGAACGCGAAGTACTGATTAGTGCACTGGTATGTCTTGTATTTTCTGAGCCACATTCCTTTCGTTTCATTACAACTTATGAATCATCACAACATACGATACGATTTTTTCATCTAGAGATTTCTTACAACTTATGCTTCTGTATGACTTATGAGTCCTTATATCTTATGATACGATTGATTTCAACTTTAAATTTATTACAACTCTGATTCTTTACAACTTGCGGTTATTTACAATTTACGACTCCTTGCAACTTACGACATCAGTAGATAGTTTATCGTCGTTCTGCTGGAGTCGCAAGGCCTTGGCACAGGCCGAGCACTCGCCGATGCGCACGGGAGGCTTTGTGTTCTTGCGCACGAGTGACGAGTTGACGGCCGCGTTAGCGTGCTTACACGGCCTGCACTCTGTACCGAGAAAATCCCTACGTAATAAGTTATGAAGATAAGTCTTTCAGGCGTACAATTATCCTAATTAAGATAAAACAGGTAGGGCATAAAAAGCCTAATAATAGCACATGATAATTTTTGATAATGAATAAAAAGCAACTTGATATACCGTAAGATGAGTTGATGAGCGGTGAAGAACAGCGCCAGGTGAAGCAGTAGATCAACAGACGCACAAAAATCTTAATTAAAAGGTAACACCGGTGTATAGATTGTCTATCTAAACATAATACATTAGTACATATCCAATACCAACCATGCAACGTCCTGATCGCAGCGGCCAGTCTATGTCTGTTGAAGATTTAGGGAATTCTCGTTCCCACAGTATATACTGTAGTACAGCATTCCTAGAGTATACATAGTTCAAGGAAGAATGCGACGCTAGAAATTAGAAACGAAAAACCCCTTCGGTATATAGGCTCAGTCAAGTACACAATAATTGCTTACAATTGATTAAAAAAAACATTTCCTTCCTCAGAAAGGGCGACTAACGAACGCTTCATTAATAACCAATTTTATGCAATATTCTAGCGCAAAAATTGTCCCAATAATTCAAATCATATGTAACATATATGAGCTTAAAACAATAAAATTTAAATCTCATTTAGGTAAATTGTTCGATATCATAAAAGCAATTTTGCTTTGGTCAAGCGAAGCTTATTCAAGAAAACATACTCTGTAACCCTAATTTAGGTGAAATGTAGAAAATTTCTAACAGATGGCTTCAAAGAAACATTTCATAATACTGAAACTTACAAAATTATCATCCCGTTTAAACGTTACAGCGCATTATAATGGCAACAGTTGCATTATCAATGTTGCATACGAATCAACTTCCGGTAAACATTGATGATCGAAGGCAAACAATTTTCTGATATTTATTCAGCAGAGTATAATTAAAAATGAACTCATCGATGAGCGCCAGCTGCAAAGTATAAGAGCAAGTTGCAAACGTGAGCGGCTATAGCCATCACATTCTCATCGCAGAGAAGTTATATTGAGAGATGGCTTAACTAGGACAGTTAATAAAGAGGATGCTGCTGATAAGGAGTTATAACGAGAGATGGCTTAGCTAGAACAATTATTAAAAAAGATGCTTATGAGGAGTTACACAAAGATGGCTTAACTAGGACAATTAATCAGATGATGCTGATGAGTTATATCGAGATATGGCTTAACTAGGACAATTAATAAAGAAGATGTTGATAGAGCCGCACGCACGCAACCAAATGCAATGAGGTTGCCCGCTGACGCACATCGTGTCGCAAGGACCATGCTATTTATGAGAGTATTTATGACGACATCTCATACTTTAGCCGGCCGGTGGAAAAGCTGTCTGGCGGCGGCAGCTACACCACGTTGCACCTACTTGTGGGAAGTTATAATGTCAGCTTGTGTATAAATATAAGAGGCGTTTTCTTACTAGTTGCGATCTCATCTACGGAGCAGAGATGTAGAGTTAAGAGTACAATGTACTTTTGGTAGATCTAGTATTAATTGAGAAGAAAGCAGCGGTTGTGGCATTATGAATAAACTTGTGGTATTATAATATAAAATTAACTTGAAAAATTTATCAAAGAAATATTGAGTGCTGTACGAGAGATATCAAGTACGAAGTGTTACGGAAATATACTTATAAAATACTAAAACGGGTCATACCCAAAAATGCTGTTTATTCACGCTGATGAATTGCTTTAGAGAGTACAATGCTCACGTATACAGTAACAAATAGTCGGTTAAATTATCAGCGTATCTACGAAGCTAACAGTAAGAAATATTGAGTAGGAGGAGATGTGTTGATGAAGGAAAGCACGCCAGCCCACGTCATCTGGTGCCGCTGTATACTTGGTGACACGAGAATGCGGTCATTGCTAACATAAGCGCTGTCGCTCGGACTGGTCTGAGAACGCATTGTGTACGTTATATTGCTATTCAAACATACTGCATTTTTTTTAATTACTGCACATGTGAATTATTATTTATTCATAATATTTAACCGAAAGTTTAAGTTAGAAAACCGAAGATTGATGAGAGGATGAAACTCGTGCAACACTTCCGCCGTGCCACGGTCGACTAGAATTCTTGGCAAGCTCCCGTACACGCGATTTCGCCCGCATTCCTTCATACTTTGAGGTCAGGAGTGTAACGTTTGCTGCCACACTCGCATGTCGCCACATTCTCAACGTTTATGGTGAACGTGTGAAACGCAAGGGGACACGACACGGCACTTGGGGAATATGGTGAAAGTGTGAAACGCAAGATGACACGACACGGCACTTGGGGAATATGGTGACTATATAGAGAATGTATGCAACGCAATGTGAATGTATGATGAATGTTCTCCAACAAACAAAGCATAATGCGACCCCAAAGGAGTTGGTATTTCAAGAATTAGGGAGCATTATCATATTGAACCAAATCGGTAGATCATTGACCAACTCATTCACAAAGTACGTGGTTCATCAAGATTTTTATAAAATATATTTTATTTGCAGATGAATAAAAGTAATTTACTCAGGCAATTCTTTCGAAATTAATGCATGGAATTAGTTTATGAATTTAATAGCATTCAACAGCAATATTAACTCACGGTTTACTGTCGATAAACGGAAAAATCTCACGTGTACTTACGACTTGGCGCAACATTTCTCGAGGGCTTGCTAATGCTCACAAGCACGTCAAGAACACGTCATAAACTAGCAGCTCACAAGCACGTCAAGAACATCACTAGCACGTCAAGAACACGTCATAAACTAGCAGCTCACTAGCACGTCAAGAACACGTCATGAACTAGCAGCTCACTAGCACGTCAAGAACACGCCATAAACAAAGAGTTTGACAAATTCAGAAGTGAAAAAAATTTTAAACCAACTTCGAATCGATTGGTCGAGAATTTTTCAATTGCTGAATGGAATGGAAATTTTGTTATGATTTTGTAAACAGACAATGCTGCGACCAACGTTATGGATTCGAGTGAACTTTCCGAAAATCCATTACTTATTTCAAACGATATCTCCCAAAGACCAGTCTCTTTTACTGATAAGAGCAAACAATCCGTAATCATTCAGATTTGTATTAACAAATTTATATTTAGGTCTGAAAACTTTCTTTGTTCATCGGTTGGAAAAAGTACGAAGAAGACCACGCGCATTCAAATTAAAAACGATTTAATAAATCTTGATCAATAACAATGACCATGCAGATCCAAGCCACTTTTAGCTCAATTTAGACAAAAGTATTAAGTTTCAGCAAGAACGAAGCTTAGCCCTAATGAACGCCGCGCCAACAGGCCTTCGTAACGACATCGTAAGCGAGAATTAATTCATTCGTTATCGCTTCAAGACGCGGCTAGTGTAACGCGAGCCACAATATATGCGTTCACTTCCATCCACCAAATGGCTCAACATGAAGCTTTAATGTGAGTCACGAGCCATAAAGTCCGCTCTTATTGCCATATTTTTTGGCACCAACAAAACACTCATACACAAGGTCAAAAAACCCCTACACGTGCAACTCTTGACAAGATCATGTGCTTGTATGTACAATTAGTAGGAACTTTTTTCAAACAATTTAAACTCAAGTGAATATGACTGAATTAGTCAATGGCATGAACAGATATCACTGTTTTTCTATCAGAAAAGTTTGAACGCACATGCAAATTTTAGCGTAGCGCATGAATTTTCAGGTACTTTAATATCAGGAGTAACATTCCATTAATTATAATCTATCAATGAATATATTCGTTCAACCAATACAAACAGTCCAAGGGTACATATTTAACAATTTAACAGATAAATTATATTTAATTCAGTTGTACCCATGCAGCATAACTAGTAAATACTGCGGCAAATCCATTTTGAATTTACGCAGAGAATGTACCACAAGCCAGGTAAATGTATGAGTTAAAATAAACTTTATAATTAATGAGTGTAACAATGTACACAAACGTTGAGAAGAAATTATTTGTAAATGAAGAGTCTGCAGGTTTACGATTACGCTCCTGATCTCATCTGAGCCGCAGCCACCCATCGTGAGCCTGACGCTCGTCTAAGGTTTTGTTTTGATGGCACATCAAGAGACAATAAAAGTCGTGTTATTAACCCCGACTAGGTGCCTCCTCCCGGCGTGATTGCCCCCCTCTCTTTTCCTGGCCTCCTCACAGGTTGGGATTGCGCCAAGACGAAGCAAACACAAATGCTATTAGGAGCCTTTAATGAATTGAACTGCCCGTGTTCACTCACATGTGCAGCGACACAGTGAATATTGCGACCGAATTAAATGCAGCATCGACCAACTATTATAGACACGTTTACATCAGGCTCCTATTCAGACGAGCATGTAAATCATCGATAACTTATTTGAATCCCGCCAGTTACGACCTTCCCCTTCTTGCCGATTAACAAACTACAACACATTGCGAATAAAGATTTTCAAATCCCAAAATTATTAATGTATGATCAAAAACTTTGTACGTTTTAACTCAAGTTTCGTCCCAGAAGCGGTCATGAGAATTCGCTGGTCGGTAATAGCGACTCAAAGAAGACCCTGCATGTGAATGCAAATGTCCACAACCTGAGACCTTGCCAGTCATACATCGCTGCTTTATGTCTGCCAAGAAAATAAGAGTTCGATGGGCAATAGGCAAACACTCAGACCTACCTACTGCTTACGTCATCATTATCTACACTTAATCCAAGGAAAACAATCTTGAGCTGCCATGCATAACAACATCAACTAGTATTTGACAGCTCATATTCAAGGTCATATCATAGCAATACCATAGTTGATATTAGCTCGATACTAGTTTGAAATACGGTCTACAGGCGTATCTCAACACACTTGAAATAAGGCTACACATTTTTTTCAGTATTCAGACAAAATGATGAAATCTGATATTCTAATATGACATGGCATTACCCGTCCGATATAAGCCATCAATAATGAGGTAGGTATTGGGATACTCGTGTCTTCCTCACTTACATTTTCATGCAATTGGATTTTTTAGTAGAATTCTTACCCCATTTGCACATAAAGCAAGATCATTTCTTGACGGTGGGCAATGAAACCATTCCTATCAATGAACTTAACATAACACAAAAAAAGTTCAATTCCGTCACTATGGACAGTGTTTTAACACCGGGCGTGCCGACAGGAAATTACTTTTCACAATCCAGTTAGCTTCCATTTTACACGTTTCATAAGGTTGAAAGATTAAGTGAAACATAATGGACTGAAAAAGTGAGCAGACCATAACTTAAGCAATTAAACATGGTTCAAATAGTCAGTTCATTCAGCTGTTGCAGTGATCGCTGAGTAACCAAACCTCGTATAGACACATGTTAACTAATCTCTTATGTCTACATGATTCGGTTATTGTCAGGGTGTAGATACTACATAAGTTATCTTAATAATTGGTATTAATTACTAAAGTTAGAAGGGTGATCTCACCAGGGTTGGTCCAAGTCCAGCACACCATGACGACTGATGCCGACAACTAAACGTATCCTAATGCTTAGTAGCACATGAACGTCAACGCTAAGAAGCTCCCCTTATGAGACATCGTTTTTTTCATTATAATATTAATGAAGGAAAGTAGAAAATGCATGTCGATGAATGATCGATTCAATAAGACACATAAGAAGAATCAGAATTTTGGTGGTCCACGTTAGGCGCCTCTGCTGCAGCGGTTCCCAATACAAGTCTGCAACTTTTTAAGGCTGACGTCAGCCATCAGTAATAAGGCAGCTAGATCGTATACAACATCACAACGTTAATACCACAACATTATATAAGGCTGAAAAAACAGATTTAATAAGAAATATAAAACATTTACTTTTGGCTTTGAAAACTAGTTCCAGTTTCATTTCTTTCACATTTATAGGGATAGGTTGCAAATGGTAGACAGTTATAACGAGTGGTTGCATGTGTAGCTGAACAACACAGCAGCACTCACTGAGGAGCCATCAGCAACTCTGCGGTACCGGCTTAGTAAATGATCACAGAAACACCAGAGAAGCAGCGCGGTCCACGTGACCACACCACGTGCTTGGAAATAGGCTAAACTTACTTCTAAAAACTACAAAGCTTGGGTTGTTTCTATTCCCAATCCGTCAGCTCCCAAAAGACTCGCACTCAACTTCCCACATTTGTGTCAACGGAGGTAAAGCCGCTCGTATGAAGACAATATTTGCCAACATTACCCAGGCAACGATCCAAGTTCCAATCACACAAATCGATAAAAGAGTATTCTGTGTACAGCGCTTTTTATCGCAAGGGGCTTTTTATCGCAGGAACAATGTAAGGCACAACTAAAATAACAAGAATTTCTCCAATACTTTAAAAGCCAGTGCATGACGAACAATTCATTAACCTGAATTTATTCACATGCTCAGTACCGTACACCTTCACATTAATGTGAACATTCAGTCTTTGCTACATTGGATAGAACGAACGTAAATCCCGAAGTTAAAAGACGTTTTGTCCAACAGAGTTTCGCTTGACGACGTTAAAATATACTTTTTTAATATTTTTTTATGCTGAATGGAGATAACTAGCGAACATGGAGATAACTAGCAAACCTTCAGATTGAACGGATGAATTCTTCATAAATAATAACAAATCCAAGGCTGGAAGACATGGTACAATAAGATACAGTACACAACAAATAAGTTTCAAATTTGTTCGGTGCGCAATCTGCAGCTGAAGTATAAGGCTTCACGAAGCTGTGCAGCTCAGACACGTGACGCCGGAGCTCATCAACCGAGCAAAAACCTCTCATTCTTTCACACCTTCTTATAATAACTGTAACAACATCAAACTGAATAATTCCGTAAGAGCTTTATTTTCATCAGCCTTTTCAAATGCAAGTCTACCTGAATAGGATAAAACGTACTGGAACCAACGCTCACGTATAGTAAGTAATGTAGATTAGAGAGCCTTAGAAATAATTAATACAAAAATTTTATCGAGCGCACTTAACAAAATTGAAGGAAAAATGAAACATTTAGTAATGTTTTGTAAAAAAACGGTAAAAATGGAAGCTGCCAGCGAACGCAAGTCTGGAGAAGAATATCTGCGATTAGAGAAGGTTAAAAAACTGAAAGAACAACTCGGAACAAAACCCGAGAAAAAGCAAGTGAAACCTCCGCAAGAGAAGTCCGGTATAGCTAAGATGAGAAATTAAGAGTGCAATTATACGTAAAACGTCTCACCTTTCGCATCAGTGCCGTCGGCGTTTCGATCTGCAGTGACAAGAATAGACAAGTTAGTAACACGTCTACGGTTTGGACAACAACAAACATCAAACAAGTTACTAACGCGTTTTCGGTACAAGAACAGACAAGTTAAACATCTATGGTAGTAGCTTAGCGGCAACTTGGAACAAGCACAGCTATAATAAGGCAACAAATCACAATATTCCTGACTAAAGTGGAGCACTCTGGATAGTATTACGTACAAGAACTTCATCTTGGATAGGCGTCTTTCTGTTGATGTGTGGTCGAAGTTATAGGGACAAAAAAAGGCCTGCACCATCGCATTGGATTCATCACGAAAGCGATTATTACTGCAACAACGTTAGACAGCAAGACCGTACATCACGACAAAATAAGCATTCTTGTAGTTGATCCATGTCGATATAATAACGGAGTAAAATCTTCGGATAATAAACACACAGTATTCATCGACAACTTCTTTTTGATTCCGAAAGCCAATTCTAAGATTAAATATATCAATAAATTCGACACACTTAATGCTAACCCGGATTCAACATAAAAGTATAAAGAAAATGATGTACGAGTTTCGTTAACTTGGAGCAAAATAATATACGTTTAAAAAATACTTTTTAAAGACAACACTTCTAAAGAATCCAGTGTCTCCAATGTTAAAGATGTACCACTGTACAATAAATTTCTCATTTTATTTTTGAATATTAAAGAAATTATTTTTTCAATTTTTTAAATATATAATTTGTTTTTAAAATTATTTATGTTAATTGATTCATGCATTGCCTACGACTTCACACAAGTGTGCAAAATTTCAGATCAATTGGACAGCTAAAAGTGTGTCAAATATCAGTTATAAGATTTGTAGCTGACAATTTTTTTCCAATTTTTTAACTTTGTTCTTTTCTTTTGTTTTTCCAATTTCTTCAATTTCTTTTGTTTTTCAAATCATTTATTTTGTCATTTGTTTCTTGCATTGTCTCTAACTTTATGCAAGTGTGCAAATTTTCAGATCGATAGGATAAGTAGAAGTGTGTTAAATTTCGATTATAAGATTTGTAGCAGACAGACAGACAAACAAGAAGTGAAGTAAAAGAAAAGTATTGTAAATAATATACGTTTAAAAATTACTTTTTAAAGACAACACTTCCAAAGAATCTAGTGTCTCCAATCTTACAGATGGACAATGAATTTCTCATTTAATTTTCGAATACCTACTAAAAAAATTAATTTTTCAATTTTTTCAATATATAAAATTTTTTTAATCTATAACATTTTTTTACAATTATTTATTCTATTAATTGATTCATGCATTGCCTCTGACTTCACACAAGTGTGCAAAATTTCAGATCAATTAGACAGGTAAAAGTGTGTCAAATATCAGTTATAAGATTTGTAGCTGACAATATTATTTTTTCAATTTTTTTAATATTGAAAAAAAAATATTTTATTTTTTAAAATCGTTTATTTTGACATTTGATTCATGCACTGTCTCCAACTTTATACAAGTGTGCAAAATTTCAGATCGAATGGACAGGTAGAAGTGTGTCAAATATCGATTATAAGATTTGTAGCAAACAAACAAACAAACAAACAGTGAAGTTAAAGTGAAGTTAAAGAGAAGTGTTGTAAAAAGAGAAAAGAAACTCAGATGATTGATCATCGATGAGCAAGAACAAGCCAAAGAAATGAAGGTAAAAAAACGTGGCTCTAGAAAGAATTCGGAATAAGTTAGTTGCTCATAAAAAGTTAACATAAACTCAAGTTCACGGCGTATTCTCAATGAGCATATAAAGTGAAGATATTCTGAACGACCAATGTGCAAATGAGGTCTGTTGAAAAGGGGGAATTTAAACTTGGCTCCCAGCTTTAATTTTGTGCGTTTATATTGCTTCTCTACATCGTTAAGCTAGCAAATTATCTTCCGTTAAAAGCAGAAAAGTTGAAAAAAAAAATTAAAGTAACAAAACGAATTAAAAGTGCAAACAATCAACGAAAATCTCACCGTGCCAGAAGATAACGGAGGAGCAAAATGAAAGGCCGACAGCGAAAATTGCACACACACTCGAAAAATATTCATACGAGAGGAATACTCACATAGCGGTATCTTTTGAATTAAAATTGAATAATAATAACATTTACTATACGATTGAATAATAATACTTTTTAAATGGTGTACTTCGAATTCACGAAGAAATGTGGAATGATCGTATCAGAAATATCGATGCAAACTTAGTACTAGCGTTAGCAAAAATTCAATTTTTGGCATGCTAGCGTTCAGAACCATTGTAACTGAATGTGAGCCATTCAGATGCGAATAAAAAGTGTGGTCCTTGTTAATATAATAATATAAACGACATTAACTAGCAAAAGAATATAATAAAGGCGTAAGGCTGACCAATGAGACTGGAGACAGGATCCTCCTCGGCGGCGCTGGACTGATCAGCGTAGGGGTCAGCGCGTCTCTTGCGTCGCGCCATCGCTGCCTTCTTGCGCTCCAAGTTCTTGCGGTCTGACGTGAACAAACGTAAACATTACGAGCTAGAAATATCTCTGTTTTTATCACATATTACCACCATTGTAAAGAATTCGAGCAGACTCAACACACACGTTAAGATAATATTTAATTAAAAATAAAAGAGCAATGCAACACAAAGTTCAATTACAAACGGTCACGTTCAATCGAGGAGACTTCTGGATCTTATAGATATTATATAATTTTGGATATTATTATGGATACATTAACCATTATCAATAATTGCGGTATCTAAAGGCCCAGTAACTAGAAGTACCTTCAGAAGATAAAAAATCCACAATTCGTCTAAGGGTACAATAGCGATTTTTAATGCTGCTATAAGCATGGATTTCCCAGACAGAACCAGGCGAAGGAGCCTTGTTGTACCGAGCGGCGATGCATTATAATGCACTTGAGAGCTGTGGCTTGAAGCTACAGCATTGCAGGGGCTGCAAGCTGCGATGCAGTATAATGCACTTGAGAGCTGTGGCTTGAAGCTGCAGCATTGCAGGGGCTGCAAGCTGTGATGCAGTATAATGCACTTGAGAGCTGTGGCTTGAAGCTGCAGCATTGCAGGGGCTGCAAGCTGCGATGCATTATAATGCACTTGAGAGCTGTGGCTTGAAGCTGCAGCATTGCAGGGGCTGCAAGCACGCACGTTCACCTGCCAACCGCCGCCCCCTAAAATAGGCCCAGAGATAGCGAGTGACCGCAGCGTCGTGTGAGGCTATGTCACGCGTAAGTGGGGATCACTGCGAGTATGAAACTACGTCTGAATAATATTCGATTCATGTATGCTAACATATAAGGATATAAAATAATTATACAAAAAATTTCGATGATTTTGTGATTAAGTTTATTCGACTCTGGATGAGTCAAATATAGCTGAGCGCTGATAGCCTGTGAAAATGGACGCGGCACATGCTAGTCCCGTTCACAATCTCGTGAATTTCATCAAAAGCACATGTCAAGATCACGTGTAAAATACTAGGAATTTCCTGGAAATGGCTCATGGGAAATTATAACAAAAAATTTCCATGAAACTTTGTCCCTTGCAAAATTGCCTGTGAATTCCTTGTACGCAGAATTTTATTTAAGGTAGCCAATATAAAACATTTTGGAGTTTAGCTCTTAAAAGAAAAAAATATGGTCACTATTCTCTTACACCAACGCTCTCCAGCATAACTTCACCACTCATTTAATGTACCATTTCATAATGAGCCATAAAACGTCTAATTTGCTGAGTATTTTTTACGACGATAGCTCTAAATTGCTGAGGAATGCACAGGAAGAAACTCTCGGAAGCTCCGAAGATCGAGAGACGGCATTACCGTGAGCTACCGACCATAGCAATTAATTAAGCCTGACATGCCAAGGCTAAGAACACAGCGGCGTAGGCGGGACCATTCATTGACTGGGACTAGAACGCAGCGGCGGCAGCAGCAGCAGCAGCAGTGGGTCGAAAGAAATGTGCTGTGGTTGAGAGCATACATAAAAGTGAATACAAGCAACAACAGAAGGAAGTAGATGAATATTTTAAAATAACAATTACATGCTGCAAAGATTGAAAATTATTTTGACAAATAACGTCAGGAAATTAAAGCTAAAATCGCTGCAAGAAGTCACGTAAGCTTGATCGGATTATATTTTATGTCAAGATATGTCCATCAGCTCTTGTATATAGGATGGATGCGACTATTGCGTACATCATAGGTGCAAATCAACCAAGGCAGCGTGAACGGAGTTATATTTTCGGCTTGGTATGTGTCAGTAATGCAACGCTTACTTGTGGTGACAGCCTGAGCCCAGCTCCTAGCTTCCGATGTATCAGGCTGATATTCGTGCCCTCAGTAGCCCATGTGTCACATGACAGTCGTGCTAACGATACTGTGCATGTCATCTATTGGGTCGCCGAGAAATAATTTGCATATGCAGTCAGGTGCCTGACGTCTGTCTCAATGCCTCATCTGCTAACAATAGTTATAACACATCGAAAATTAAAAGGTGACATCTCACTCGAGAGTGGCAAGGAACCAAGCTAATTAGTAACCAACTCAAACCAGATCGGTTTCACAAACGAAGCTTATCCGTCATTCATATATTGAATAGAAATAAGTTTCATTTCAAGCTTTAGAAGTAAATAAGAAAACTACACGTACGCGTTACAAACAGTTTCCATCTAGAAGCCTCGGTCTTTGAAAAGTTTTTACCAAATGAATTAACATTTATTTACAGAATTTGCATCGGATCAGTGCCATCGATCCTGGTTCACTGTACTGCTTAATCATAGTCGTTTGGTTCATTTTAAATGTCTAGTTAATGGAAAACAGCTATTCTGAAATAATAAACAAACTTAGTGACACTTAAAAGGTATTCGTTTTCATCAAGAAAAAATGCCATTCTGGTCTTGAACGTAGCAATGTCAAACACAATAGCGCATTTTTTCCATAAATGAGAAAATGCACTAAAAATGTACACCTCAAAAATCCCATCTGATCTAGATGGCAAAATACAACCAACGGTATAAAATGGGGACAGTTAAACAATAAAATCATATTATAAACAATAAACGAAGAAGAGGAAAAATTCCAAGGTGAAATATATCTGAAGTAACGCAACAGATGAGCATTGTGATGATGGATCTCGTGCAGAGCGAGCTGCCCGAAGCTTGGCTCTCAACAGACACGAGCAACAACCTTGGCACACATAACGCAGTCTACGTAGAGGCTACTTTACGGTACTGTACTTAATGAACATGATGCAGTGCACTTCCTGTGAACACCTGTAAAATACACGTACTGTCTGTTTTATACGCAGTGTAAATAGGTTCATTGTCTTTGCAATGCAATATATCTACATACAGGTACAGATAACGAGTAAAGCAGTGCAGACACTCTGAAAGCGACCATTCAAAACGTCACGTATGTAAATAATTTCATGACAAATGTCATAGAAGCGCGCTTATATGTAACTAGAAGCACACGATATTGTCGAGCACGATGGATTGCGCACATTAGCAAATTTAAGAGACTCACAATAAAATGATGACACCTGAATCTAATCGATTCTAAATACGACGTATCATACTTGATATGCACAGTATATAGTCACACTAAAATCACGATGTTGTCCAGGCGAACACGTCTAATGATATCTCTCATAAGCACCGTATGGCGCCAGTCCTGTCACAGACGATTTTGACAAGCAGCAATCGGTTACATGCACGCTTAAACAGATAAAGCAACAGCTTAATGCACAATATGAAAACATCGCTCACTAAAACATTTTCGTTAACACGTGTACCGGTCGAGATGCTCGCTGCACCCACCACACAGAAAAAAGAAATGATCAGCTGCCAAATTAGCTGAATTTAACGAAAGACTTTGTTCAAATATTTATTGAATTAGCGTTTAATCATATCCTAAATTTCGATTGAATCAGACATTTAATTCAGGAGACCCTTATAATTCATCAGAGCTCTGTTGAGTGTAAATTTGAAAGTGACTGCAAACAAAGGGACTCAAAGTCAGTGATCTAAAGTAAACTGAAATTAAACATTTGTAGCACATTCTTCAAAGTTAAAAATGTCATGAGCTAAAATCATGAAAACGGAAGCCAAAAATTATGATATAAATATTTGAATATTAGTCTAGGCGATGCATAAACACATGGTTTTCAAAATCACTCATAATTAGAAAGAAATGAAATCTTTTTGAACTTTGATGACAAAATGCAACTAAATGTTGAAATTTGTATTTATTATTTTCAGACGCGAACCTAGACAATCAGTTATTAAGAAAAAGCTGTGAGCTGTTCATTTGAAAGCACAAGAGAAAGCCTCCTGCCTTCCTCAGGATTCATTCCTAATGTATGGTAGAGCCCATACCTATAAATAGCTATAGAGTCACAAATCAGAAACTTTGCAACTTTTTATTAGGAAGGAAAATAGCAGTAAAAAAACGAGCGACTAAAGTTTTTGCGTCATTTCCATGACAATGATGACACTACTGATAATTTCAAAGTAGTTACAAATCTTTGAATAAGATCTCAACAGAGAAATGCTGTTATGTCTTTGGTATTAAGAAGCTTTAAAAGCAGAACACTCAGATTTGTTAGTTAAGGATCAACTTAGCCGAAATGTTATATTACATTCTAGGGCAAGAGTGTGCACAAGGTGCATTGTCAAACATTAAAAAGCAGTAAACAAAATAGCATCAAAAAATTAATAAAGACCTGTTCTTGCATACCTTGCAATTTTCTTTCAGATACTTCAAGTAAGCCACAAGGACTTCTGTCTCTTTTTTCCTGTGGTGTTTCTTCTTGGTTTTCAAACATGGAAGCACGTTTGCTCACAAAGAATTTGTTAATGCCCAAGCCCAAAGAGGGCAAAGAGTTACGCTTGGAACGCATCGTGACACTCATCCTAAATGTCAGACACTAAGTATATCAATTGGCACTATTCACAAAATTAATGCACTAACTAAATTTTTTCACATATCATAAAAGTTTGAACTTAGACCTTGGCATTAAAATTGTGACCAGTTCAACATAGTCAGGAACAAACACATTTTCAGTATGCTTAGCTCAGTATAAGAAGACGCAACTTAGGTTCAAACAATAATATTAATTCACAATCACTGCTTCAGTATAAAACACTTTTTGTTGTTTGCATGTTTCATTATAGGAATGTATAAATATACATTTTTTCAGACAATTATTCTAACATTTTCAAGAAACAATTAAAATAAATAAAATTACCCTCTCAAATCCTTTTACCCTAATTTCAAAGATTTAATAAAACTGTTTGGTGATGAAATACAGGTATAAATTATACAGTTAATTAAGTAGAGGGCAAACTGAAAAAATAATAACTTATTCTGATCAATTAAATAAATTTATTCAAGAAAATAAGGACTACTACATCTGTCAAATGATATTTTTGTAAACTATTTATTTAAGCACCTGATGCTTTAGTAATACTTTCACATGAATCACTATTAATGAATCACTGAATCACTTCTGATCTTTGCATCAATTTGAGCATAGGTATATCCCAACTCAGCTCGTTACATATAGTTACCTATCATAATGACTTGCTAACAGACATCCTACTCTGCTCATTACATATATCATAATAATGACTTGCTAACAGACATCCTACTCTGCTCATTACATATATCATAATAATGCCTTGCTAACAGACATCCTATTCTGCTCATTACATATATCATAATAATGACTCGCTAACAGACATGATACCCCAAATAATATTCCTGCATATTGAACCATTGCTCATCTACTACATTATACATTTTAAAATGAATATGTCCATACTCCCTTACTCTACAAGCTCTTTTTTTTTTACAACACTTCTCTTTAACTTCACATCTTGTTGTATGTTTGTTTGTCTGCTATAAATCTTATAATCAATATTCAACACGCTTCTACTGGTCCAATCAATCTAAAATTTTGCACACTTGCATAAAGTCTGAGACAATGCTTGAATCAATTGACAGTATAAATAATTTCAAAATTTTGAAAAAATTATACATAAGTACCCTACCTATATATTGAAAAAAATTTTGAAAATATTTTTCAAATATTTGAAAATAAAGTAAGAAAATTTATTGTGCATGTGTAACATCAGAGACACTGGCCTCTGAAGAAGTGTTGTCTTTAAAAATGCAATTTTTAAAAGCATATTATTTCTCCTGAGCACTTGAGCTCTTAGTTTCTTCATGAAAGATGTCTCAAACAAGTTCAATTTAATCTACACAGATGCTAGCTTTTATTTTTTGTANTCATGAAAGATGTCTCAAACAAGTTCAATTTAATCTACACAGATGCAAGCTTTTATTTTTGTATAGCTGTTTGAATATCCAAATAAATTTGGTGCCTATAGTTAAATCTTTGAATAACAACAAAACAAATGAAAGACTTTAAATGGAGGAGTGACTATGACATCTTACAGTCTTACAGAGCTCTAAAATTTAGAGAAAATGCTCTGAAAACTATTGTCTTATTAGGCAAATGAGGCAATTATGTTTTGACAGTTATCTCATAGGCTGAATAAATTTTTTAATTCACTTTGTGCTTGTGGCACCATTTATGAAATGTAGCTCCATAAGAACTTAAAAGAAACTTCTCAATAAATGAGATGACATAGAACTTTTATAAATTACAATTCCTTAGTTTGTTTACAAAAAAGATTTACTAAATAAATTAAATCAGGTATATATATACATATGTCTGGATTTCAGCTCAAAATGTCTACAATGTGTCCAAGACAATATCTGCTATCCACCATTTCAATGTTTGTAGTACCTGTACTCTGTGAGAGGATTTTGCACATACCTGTCTAAAATTGTACAATATATTTATATATTTTAATAGAAAATATATTTATTCCTAATAATATATTCTTAATAACTACCATATATAATAATATATTGTTAATGACTATATACCTACTTTAGAATATGCTGCCAGAACTACATAACCTTCACAATTTATTGTAAATAATATGCTTTTAAAAATTACTTTTTTAAAGATAACACTTCTTAAGAGGCCAGTGTTTCTGATGTTACACATGCACAATAAATTTCTTACTTTATTTTCAAATATTTAAAAAATATTTTTAACAATTTTTTAATATACATATAATTTTTTTCAAATTTTCTAAATTATTTATACTGTCAATTGATTCAAGCATTGTCTCAGACTTTATGCAAGTGTGCAAAATTTTAGATTGATTGGACCAGTAGAAGCGTGTTGAATATTGATCATAAGATTTGTAGCAGACAAACAAACATAGGTACAACAAGAAGTGAAGTTAAAGAGAAGTGTTGTAATAATATTGAATGAATGTTAAGAGGTATTAAAAGAGAATGTATTGGCCAGATCTCCTGAAGACATAGATTTTGATGCTAATGAGCGGCAAAAAATCTTTAGTTACTAGCTCACTTCTGCGCACCCCAGCATTTGTAAATTCTACCATGTTAAATGAATATCATTTACCTACAACGAAGACTAAGCAGTTTAATATAAATAAGAATTCCTACAAATATGTAGGTAATATGACAAATAAGGATAAAAAGCTATCTATTTCTATGCAAAAAGTCACTAATTCACAGACAAATAGCATGTGGTAAATGATTCAAATTCATTCATCCTCTTTCCATCTGATATGCTAATCTTAACATCCGTATGGAATTCAGGATAGGCAATATATTCTCACATTTATACAGCAAAATGGATATTTACACCTCCCACTGCTATGCCAAGGTGCACACTGAGCTCATAAGAGGCTGCCGCTATTCTGACATTGCTCAATTTACTGACTGCTTGTGGATCTCTGTGAGGCCATTCTCAATTATCTTCACTAGTCATTATTATAAAGTGAGCAATTTTTGCAATGAATACCGGTATGTTCCAAAATAAAAAAAAAAAATTATATCAACCATTGCAGAAAAGTCTCACAACTTTAATAATACCAAAAAAGTTTTCAGAACCACACCAAATGACAATATAATCTTGGATTCTATTATGGCATGTGGCACATCATAATGGCATTGAACAAGTGAAGAGTGGAGATGTCCCACACTCTGGTTGGGTAGTGTCAAATTAAATTTCACAATAAATAGATTTGTTCCACACAGATATCTAAATGCTGGAAACCTGTGTGAAATTTTAACAACCCTTTCTACGCATACAGATATAATCTTTTACATGTTTTTGCCTGATTTTGTCAATATTGTCTTACTAACTTCACTTTACATCCTGAATGATATCTCCCATTGTGAGTTTTTGAAGTCATGTATCTTTCAGAAAATGTGTTGTTTATAAGCAAGAATTACAGCATTTTGATAAATCAGAGAGGCAAGATTTTGAGAGATTGGGCTGTACCATTAATAAAAATTAGATGTTATTAAAATTTACTAGTGGTGATGCTTTTAGAATTTTTAAAAATAAACTAGTATAGAAGTATTATAAATCATAATTTGATAGATAAATAATATTGATAATTTTAATAAATACGTTCAACAATTATTGACCAGTTATGAATATCAAGAACCTAAATGAAAAATGATTCATAATTTATAGAAATAGCACCTATACAATTAAACATGACACAAGGTAATTGTAATTTAAATGCCCAATGTTTGATGTGGTTAGATCAATCAATCATTCATAGAACAATTCCATTGTCATTTATTGATTCCAAATTAAATGAGAATAAATGTATTTGGTAGGTAATTCATAAATCCCTATTACCTATATACCTATATTTGGTAATGAAAATTTTCTTATTATTTCAGAAAGGTTTTACGAATGAAGATGTTTGTGAAAACAAAACTTTTGTAGTGAATGGAGCTCTTGAAATTACCAAATAGGTAGTCAATTTTAAGCTTTTAGATAAAGGAGTGAGATCATTGTATGGCTTACAAGAAAATAATATTGATGTAGGTATATAAAAGATAGACTGTTTTAATTGAAAATAAATGCTCACATCTTCTGTGATAAAAATGACCCCTTACTCATTTTGCAACTGCCAACTGAAATGCCATTAAGAATCAGAAGCTGCCAAGCAAACTCTGGACCAATCAGCGAGATGCATGTAGGTATTCTTGTGTTGTGTGTGTATGTATATCAATTTTCTATCCCAAATGATCTCTGTAGTGCATCATGTTAAACACTAAACTCTGCTTTGCAGCGTGAGACGTTATTATTCCATCTATTGATCTAAGTTTAGTATTAGTTTAGTCTTCAATTGTTGTTAAAGAACTAATAAATCTTATCAGTCTAATTACATTTTTTGAACCTCTGTTTCAACTTTCAGAGTTTAAAGTGATTACATTATATGGCACTTAAGGAGTGAGTGTGACTATTTCTCAAATGATTGAACATAGCCTTTCAATTTTTAAAACTAAAGTTTTTGGATTGTAACACTGACCTTCAATCAACATGGATCAAACATATTTATGAACCACTATTTTTAGAATTCCATCCTGCTCACTGCTTAGTATGAAATAATAATTTTGTAGAAATGCATGTATAACATAAGCATATACATTTTGAAACAAGTACATAAGACTACATGTTAATAACTTATTATATTATTATAGAAAACTACAAAAAAAACACTGTAAATGACTTTATGGCATAGTGTCAAAACACAGAATTATTAGAATCAGTTCCCTATTAATTTCCTTATCTACTCAAAATGTAAACAAATATCTTATGTGTGATAATGCTGGTATCCATGATACCTTACTGGTCTACTTATACTATAACTAGTATAGGTTGACAGAATTTCAATTTGTTTCTTTAACTTGAGCAGGTTTCATCAAAGACCAGAGAATTTGTTTTATTGACAATTTACTTTCTAGTTTTTTCAACATATTAAATAACACTTTTTGCTTTGCACTGGTAAATAAAAAATCAGGGTACCAATGGATATTTTGATGTCCGTTCACTCCATTCAGATTCAGTCCATTGGATTGGTACCCTGATTTTTTATTGTTTGACATGTTAAATAAACTAACAAGAACATTGTCAATAAAACAATTTCTCTTGTCTTCAATTATACTATGATTTATAGAATTTAATAAATAAACTTGGGATGAGTCTAAACAAGTCTCTGCTTTGACACTATCACTAAGCTGTATGGACAGAAATTTTTGAGCTAAGCCTAACTGCCGAAGGACAGAGGCCACAGAGCAGTGAGAA